TCCCCCGCAAGCGTCTGCCATCCCCTCCCCAGAGTCTCTGTGGCTCACGCCTGCGCTCCTCAGATCCCGAGGTGCTCCCATCTTCTTGCACTTGTGGTCCTTGCCGTCACCCTCGCCTGGCTGTCCCTCCCGCCCTCCTGTTCCCACCTCTCCTCACACGGGTGTCTCCAGGCTGAGTCAGTCCCTGCACTGGTGCCGCCCACGTCAGGCTCGAAGTCTGTGCTGTCGCGGCGCGCCCAGTCTGGGCCCCCCTGCCTCCAGCTCGTTTCCAGCCCACACACCCCGCACGTGACGTGGGTGACGACGCCCCAGCAAGCCCTGCCGGTCCCAAGCCCTGCTGAGCGGGAACGATGGGAGAAAACAAGCGAGACGTTCAAAAACCAGATGTCCACCATCGCCGGGGACTGCCTGCTGTCCGCGGCCTTCATCGCCTACGCCGGCTACTTTGACCAGCAGATGCGCCAGAACCTGTTCACCACCTGGTCCCACCACCTGCAGCAGGCCAACATCCAGGTACCGGTGGGCCTCAGTGGGAGCCGCGGGGCGGCGGGGGCTCGCACAGGCTGCCCTGGGGACGGTCCCCTCTGAGGAGGCAGAGAGGTAACAGCCCGCCCTCAGTTCCGCACAGACATTGCCCGGACGGAGTACCTGTCCAACGCCGACGAGCGCCTACGCTGGCAGGCCAGCTCCCTGCCGGCCGACGACCTGTGCACGGAGAACGCCATCATGCTGAAGCGGTTTAACAGGTGCGTGCCAGGGCCCCGGCGCGCTGGAGCGTGAGTGCGCTCGCAGGTTCCTTCCCTCCGAAACACACCTTCGGAGACCTGGCTGGGGGCGTGGGGCCGTGCTGGCGGCTGAGCAGGTCTCGTGGGTGCGCACGGCCCTCATGCTTCCACCCCGATGGCGGGCCGCTCTGTGACACACGCTCCTGGCAGCCTTTCAGGATTGATGGCAGGGCTGTGCGGTGTTGACGCATGAAAGTGCTCAGCAAGGCAGAGGGGAATCGCCCCACTCTCCTGTGTAGGAGAGTGAGTGCCGCAGGGTGGACTGGGTGCTGACTCCAGGTGGGCACAGGTCACCTGGCTCGCCAAGGCTGGGCCGCCTCTGTCCCACCTATGAGCTGGTCACACCACCAGGGTGTTGTGTGAGTGTGTGAGTGTGTGTGTGTGTGTGTGTGTGTGTATGTGTGTGTGTGGTTTTTTGCTCTAGGGCGTGTGCGCTTGCCAGAGTCAGACAAAGTGAGAAGGCACTCCACGCGTGTAGGCCATGCCGTAAGCCTGTCTCCATGCTCTTGGGATTCTGTGCCAGCGTGTTTTTATAAGCCACCAGTCCAGGACTTGAACCACACAGTTGGCCATGTGGGATCCAGCACCTTAACCACCACACCATCTGCTGGCCCTGGGAAGCATTCTCCTCTCTCTTTTAAACATCTTTCCAATTTCTCTGTAACCTGGCCCAACGTCGGCACCTCGCTGAGCACTCACGCCACTGTCCCAGGGACATGGATTTAGAGACGACTATGGACGTCAGTGTGGACCGTGGGCAGCTTAGTGCCTGTGCGCAGGGCCAGATTTGTCCAAACGATAGCTAGGAACAGCCACAGAATTCCGCCTCTGAGGCTCGTTAGCCCCAGCCTAGCGCCTGTGAGAAGTGGCAGTTCCAGGACGAGGAGAGTATGGGGGAGGGGGTAGCTCGCTGGCCTCTGTGGGGCAGTTACGGATCCTGCATGTCTCCACAGAGCACGCCGGCGGCCTGTGCAGACACTGCCATGTGGGCAGAACCGGGCTGCAGGGGACAGGTGCAGGGTGGGTGGGGTGCTCCCCACCGTGGAGACACGGTACACACACATGCATGCGCTGCACACACGTTTGTGAACACCTAGACTCCCTGTGAAGACAGACCAGGGTGTGGTGAAGGCTCTGGGGAGGGAACGTGGGGACCAAAGGCTGGGCGGGAGGTTCTCAGCACGTGACCTCGGACAGCTTCCTGCGTGTGGGCTGCCTGCTAGACCCGGCCAAGTCACTGGGGGCCTCTCTGTGCCTGTTTCTTCATTTGTGAAGCAGATTTCATGGCGGTGCTTCTCAGGGTCTGTGAGGATTAGATAAGGCAGCTCTGGGGACCAGCAGTTAGCATAATGGCTATGTCGCTGGACTCTCATGTAGTTGACCATGGTTCAAGTCCCGGACCCGGCGGCTTAAACTCACACTGGGCGTGTGTGCGTGCGTGCCCAAGATCCCGAGAGGAGAATGGAGGAGAAGGGATTGCAGCGTGACCATCCTCCCTGGGGGGGGATTTTTCGGTTTCTGTCTCTATGTCTCTGTCTGTCTGGCGAGCGCACGCGCCCTACAGTGAAAATCTCTCCAAAAAAAAAAAAAGTTAAATGAATTATTCTTTTCAAAGCAAAGAATAAAAACAAAAAATGTGTCAAAGTGCACATGCACTCACCAGAGAGACAGAGGAAGTGAGAAAACGCCCCCAGTAAGCGTGGATACTCTGTACATTTTCCTTTTGGCACTTTGGGCATATATGCACACGTGCCCTGTGTTTTTCCAGCTACCAGGAACAGACTCAAACCACACCATTGGCTGCCTGGGATCCAGCACCTTAACCGCCACACCACGGCTGCCCTCAGCCCTATGAGCTTAGCTTTTGCTGCTGCTGAGCCTTGACGTTGGTGCCCACTCTGGGCCTCAGCAGGCCAGGGCAGTGTCTGACAGGCATTCCGGCGTCCCGGGCTTGGCACGTGGGGATGAGATGCTGAGGGCAGTGAGCACTGCTGAGTCTGCCCTAAGTGTGCGATTCCAGTTACCTCCTGACAGCAGTTCCTTACAAGTTGGTCTGATCTCAAGCTAAGCGTTCTAATGGCATGTGCCCTGTGGTGAGTCCTCCCACGTGGTGGTCTCTGCCACCTGTCTGCAGGGACTGCTCACCGTGACCCTGCTTGGTTTTAACCTCCCCCGCCCGCTCGTCCTCAGGTACCCGCTGATCATAGACCCCTCGGGACAGGCCACGGAGTTCATTATGAACGAGTACAAGGACCGCAAGATCACACGCACAAGCTTCTTAGACGACGCCTTCAGGAAGAACTTGGAGAGTGCGCTGCGCTTCGGAAACCCACTCTTGGTGCAGGTTGGTGTTCACACCCGAGTTCTTCAGACTCTGCTTGTTTGGGGGGTTCCTCGTGGGGCTACATTTGGTCTTTTCCCCAAATGGAGTTGATGTGGTAGGAAACTAAGTTAGGTAACTCGGGCGCTGATGTGAAGTCTCATTCCGGGGCCAGGTCAGGGCTCTCTCCGGGACTCCGTGATGGGGGTCACATGATCTGAGCCATTCAGTATGGCCGCCCTAGCCTTGCGTGGCCACTGAGCTCCTCCCGCAGCCCTGGGCACTGGAAGCTGAGGTGTTGTGTTTTGTTTCATTTTGCCAGAGAGTATGTGCTCGTGCTTGGGGTAGGAGAGAAAGCACCCTCCGTGGGGAATGACCATGCCGCAATCCCGTCTCCACTTCTGCCTCTTTTTGGGGTTTGGGCCACATACACGCATTCCCAGTGTGTTTCTCAGACCACTGGATCCAGGACTCAGCCTGCACAATTGGCCATGTGGGATCAGGCCACGTCACGGGCTGGCCTGCTGCGTAATAAAGTAACTGCAGGGGCCGGCAGGTGGCGTGGTGGCTAGGCGCGCTGGACTCCCACATGGCCGACCGTGGCTCGAGTCCCAGACCTGGTGGCTCCCTTTCTCACTCCCCCGCACTCTGTTCCTTTCTGGTCAAACTAAAATAAGTAAATAATTAAAATTAAATAATTCTTAAAAATATACACATAAAATAAATTAACTGCATGTAGCTCGCAGTTACTGTGCTGGACAGTACGGGTCTGAGCGGCTACACAGCTTCCAGGAGGATGTACGTGACCACAGCAGGAGGCAGAGTAGCACGGCATCGTTCAGGTGCGTGTAGATGCTGGAAGGCCCTGACTGTCTGGTTTCGTTCCTGTCATGTAGGACGTGGAAAGCTACGACCCAGTCTTGAACCCGGTACTCAACCGTGAAGTCCGGCGCACAGGGGGCAGAGTGCTGATTACCCTCGGTGACCAGGACATAGACCTGTCGCCGTCCTTTGTCATCTTCCTGTCCACCCGCGATCCAACCGTAAGGACTGACGCTCACGGCGCGAGGTACGGCAGGTCTGGTTTTGCAGCGGAGTTAACAGGCTGTCCTGTTGCCTGTTTGGGCAGGTCGAATTCCCACCGGACCTCTGCTCCCGAGTTACTTTTGTCAACTTCACCGTCACCCGGAGCAGTTTGCAGAGCCAGTGTCTAAACGAAGTCCTGAAAGCAGAAAGGCCTGACGTGGATGAAAAGCGTTCCGATCTCCTCAAGCTCCAAGGTACGTTTCTGGACCTGCTGCTTTTAGACGTGGTGCAGGCCCTGACGCCAGACTTGGGAGGGCCACGGACGGTCCCGGCCACGCCAGGCCCTTCAGAGAGCTTCCCTCTGGGACGAGTGTACGCGCCGCGCAAACCCGGTGTTCTGGCGTTCAGGGGAGTTCCAGCTACGCCTGCGCCAGCTGGAGAAGTCGCTGCTGCAGGCTCTGAACGAGGTGAAAGGGCGCATCCTGGACGACGACACCATCATCACGACCCTGGAGAACCTCAAGAGAGAGGCCGCCGAGGTCACCAGGAAGGTGGAGGAGACGGACATCGTCATGCAGGAGGTGGAGACTGTGTCCCAGCAGTACCTCCCGCTCTCCACCGCCTGCAGCAGCATCTACTTCACCATGGAGTCCCTGAAACAGGTGACCGCAGCGGCCGCCGGGCAGGCGCGCCACACTCGCCTGGCTGTGGGCCCCAGCAGTGCCTGACGTGGCCGCCTCTTTCCAGATACACTTCCTGTACCAGTACTCCCTGCAGTTCTTCCTGGACATCTACCACAACGTCCTGTACGAGAACCCCAACCTGAAGGGCGTCACGGACCACACGCAGCGCCTCTGCGTCATAACCAAGGACCTCTTCCAGGTAGGGCCGGGCCCGGCAGCTCCGGCAGGGAGGGTGCAGACCGCTCCCGGGCTCAGCATCGCCTGCGTCACAGGTGGCGTTTAACCGAGTGGCCAGGGGTATGCTGCACCAGGACCACATCACCTTCGCCATGCTGTTGGCCAGGATCAAGCTGAAGGGCACTGTGGGGTAAGCGCTGCCCAGGCTGCCTGCTAGCGGGGGGTGGCAACAAGCCGCCTTTTTGCCGCGTCTTTACGCCGCGGTGGTTATTTTGGTGACGGTGGAAATGGATGTGAGATACCCTGGCGGACCCGTTCCTTCCCAGGGAGCCCACCTACGACGCCGAGTTCCAGCACTTCCTGAGAGGGAAGGAGATTGTTTTGAGCGCTGGCTCCACCCCCACAATCCAGGGCCTGACCGTGGAGCAGGCTGAAGCCGTCGTGAGGCTGAGCTGTCTTCCTGCGTTTAAAGATCTGATCGCAAAGGTCCAGGCGGATGAGGTAACGGTTCCCACGAACGTTCCCCTTGAAGCACAAGCAGACGTGGGCCCTAGGAGATCGCATTTGAGTGCTGTGTCAGGTGCCAGCACGTGCGTCTCAGCCCCTCAACCCTGAGCTCAGCTCTGCTCCCTGGTGACGCCTCCCCATTGTCTGCACAGCAATTCGGCATCTGGCTGGACAGCAGCTCCCCAGAACAGACCGTGCCGTACCTCTGGAGCGAAGACTCACCTGCAAGTGAGTCCTGGCCGGGCCCGGTTTGTGTGTGGAGCTGAACTTGAACTTGGGTTTTGCCGCTTGAAGGGACACTTAAAATAGGAAGTCACTGATTCCAAACCTACTTAAGTATTCTGGTGTGCAGACGTTTTAGGAAACCACTTAGGGAGGTGACTCTGGATAGGATTTAGGTTCGAAGTGGAAGACAAAAATTTGCTAGTTCTCGTTTAACTCATGCGTGAAGACCAAGAACGGACATAGGTAGGAAAGGCCTTGCCTGACGTTCAGCTGGAAGTGGGGTGTTGAGGCCCCAGATGGCCAGGCACCAGGAGGCGGCGCGGGAGGGCGTCTGGTCTCAGGAGTGCAGACTGGCCACAGTGGGCAGAGCAGAGCCGAGGCTGGGGCACTGGGCTCCATGCTGAGGCCCCACATGTGCTGCTCACCACGACCCGAGAGCTCCCAGGCAGTCTGCAATGAGCAGGCATCAGAGTAATCCAAGAGTCAGCAGCGGCCCTGGGTGGTGGTGGTAGCGTAGGGCGTCCAGAGGAGCCGCTTGCCAAGGTGTGATCTGAGCTGAGCCTTTGAACACTTGGTGTCTGCTGAGCGGGTACGTGGGGCGAGGCAGTCTGGGCAGGGTGCCCGCGAGTGTGTGCTCTCACCAGCCACGGGCCCTTCGCTGCCTCGTTTCAGCGCCCATCGGGCAGGCCATCCACCGGCTGCTCTTGATTCAGGCCTTCCGGCCCGACCGCCTGCTAGCCATGGCCCACACGTTTGTCTCCACCAACCTCGGGGAGTCCTTCATGTCCATCATGGAGGTGTCGTCTGTTGCCCAATATTACACCAGCCACTCGACCTGACGCACATCGTGAGCACAGAGGTGACCTGCCCGTGCTCCCACTCCGCTCCCCGGCACCTGCCCTGAGTCTGGGCTGGGGTCTCCTCCAGCCACGCCGTGGCTTCTGAATCTGTCCTGGAGCAGCCACTCGACCTGACGCACATCGTGAGCACAGAGGTGACCTGCCCGTGCTCCCACTCCGCTCCCCGGCACCTGCCCTGAGTCTGGGCTGGGGTCCCCCCCAGCCACGCCGTGGCTTCTGAATCTGTCCAGCCCCGTGGTGCCCACACTTCTGGCCCAAGACAGCACCTCGGGGCCTCCTCTCGGGCTCTGGACGGGCCTCACCGCCTGCCGGCCTGGCTCCCACCTCATTCCTGCCTCCTTGTTCACAGGTGAAGCCCAACACTCCCGTGCTGATGTGCTCCGTGCCTGGCTACGATGCCAGCGGGCACGTCGAGGACCTCGCGGCCGAGCAGAACACACAGATCACCTCGATCGCAATCGGTAAGGGCGCCTGCTGGGTCTCCGGGACTGACCCCACGGCGGGCATGGCGTCCTGGGCTGCCACCTGCTGGGTCTCCGGGACTGCCCCCATGGTGGGCATGGCGTCCCTGGCTGCCACCTGCTGGGTCTCCGGGACTGCCCCCATGGCGGGCATGGCGTCCCGGGCTGCCACCTGCTGGGTCTCCGGGACTGCCCCCACGGCGGGCATGGTGTCCCGGGCTGCCATCTGCTGGGTCTCTGGGACTGCAGCCCACAGGACCCACAGTGGGCACAGCATCCCGGGCTGCCACCACTAACACTCCACTTCATGCCACAGGCTCGGCGGAAGGCTTCAACCAGGCGGACAAGGCCATCAACACCGCCGTGAAGTCAGGCAGGTAAGTGTGGTGTGTTGTTCTAGGGACCCTCGGGCCCCGAGGGCTCAGGCAGGAAGTGGGCACCTTGCCGTGGCTCTTGCTGTGTGCAGGTGGGTGATGCTGAAGAACGTGCACCTGGCCCCAGGGTGGCTGATGCAGCTGGAGAAGAAACTGCACTCCCTGCAGCCGCACGCCTGCTTCAGGCTCTTCCTCACCATGGAGATCAACCCCAAGGTGCGTGGTGCACACAGTTCCCCCGTGGGTACACATGCGTGTGTGTGTGCACATGGCCAGCAGACACCTACGTGTAAACCAGAACAGTGAGGGGAGCCGTGTCCTCCTCCAGGTGCCGGTGAACCTGCTCCGTGCTGGCCGCATCTTCGTGTTCGAGCCGCCCCCAGGGGTGAAGGCCAACATGCTGAGGACGTTCAGCAGCATCCCCGTCTCGCGGATATGCAAGGTAGCCCACTGTCCGCCACCACTGAGCCCAGCCCTGGCGCTCTGCTTCGCTGCAATGGCAGAGTTGTAGCTGTAGGCACAAATACTGCCCTGTGAACAGAGAAAGGTGACAATTCACTGGTCAGGCCCACAAGGACTCTGGACACCAGGGAAGGCCGGAGTGCCGCCTGGGCGAGGGGAGGGTGGCGACGTTTCTGCATTGGTCTTGTGAGCCTTTTCTGACATTTCTAGAAATAAGCCTGAAGTAACTTCCTGTCCCTGTCGCTTCTCTCGGTAGTATCACGTCTTTATTAACAGCAGCCTGCTGTTGTCCTGGCAACAAGATTCATGTTAATTTGTAGGCAAGTTCTTTCCTATGACAGAGACAGGAGGCCCACACAGGGTGCTGCCACACTGCAGCTGTCCCCCAGCCTCCCAGCCAGCCAGGGTGACAGGCCCCGGTCAGGCCGAGCGCCGAGCCCTGGCCTCCCGTGCGCTCCAGCATTGCCCGGCGGTGTAGGGTGGCCTCGGTGTTAGTGTGCAGGTGCCCGTGGTTTCCTTGGGCTGCGGGGTGCTGCTTTCTGACACTCCATCCTTTGTCATGTCCTCACCTAGTCCCCCAACGAGCGTGCCCGCTTGTACTTCCTGCTGGCCTGGTTCCACGCCATCATCCAAGAACGCTTACGATACGCACCCCTCGGGTGGTCCAAGAAGTACGAGTTTGGGGAGTCTGACCTGCGGTCGGCCTGCGACACAGTGGACACGTGGCTGGATGACACGGCAAAGGCAGGTGTAGGCTTGTCCTCGGGAGCGTCACGGCTCAGGTGGTCGGGCGGTGGGTCCCACGGAGGAATGAGCTGGCCCCGTGACAGGTGGCGAGGAGTGGCTGTGTGACGGAGCGTAAGGAGGGGCCTCGGGGCTCCCCGGGCGGCGAGTGGGGGTACCGGCACCTCCCTGGCTGCGTGTTCACAACCCCTTCCTCCCACAGGGCAGGCAGAACATCTCACCAGATAAGATCCCGTGGTCCGCCCTGAAGACCTTGATGGCCCAGTCCATCTACGGCGGGCGCGTGGACAATGAGTTCGACCAGCGTCTGCTCAACACCTTCCTGGAGCGGCTGTTCACCACCAAGAGCTTCGACAGTGAGTTCAAGTTGGCGTGCAAGGTCGACGGACACAAAGACATCCAGATGCCAGACGGCATCAGGTGCGCGGAACGGCCAGGCGGAGGGCCGGGGCGGAGGGCCGGGGCGGAGGGCCGGGGCCGGGCCATCCGACGCCACAGCTGCCGTGCTGGTGTTGCAGGCGAGAGGAGTTCGTGCAGTGGGTGGAGCTGCTCCCCGACACCCAGACGCCCTCCTGGCTGGGCCTGCCCAACAACGCCGAGAGGGTCCTCCTCACCACCCAGGGTGAGTGACCGCCACTCCGCCCTCTCTGACTGTTTGGTGCTTGGCCCACCCTGAGCACCCCTGCCCAGACTGCCAGCCTCCCTGACCCCACCCCGGGCTGGGGGGAGTCGTGTTCTGGGCCTTCTGTTTTCTGCAGTGTGGACTCAGAGCTAGAGAAGAGGCCTGATGTTAAGTGAATGGGTTTAGACTGGCACCTTACATCCTCTGAAAAGTTGGAAAGGACCTAGAATTAAGTGATATTTTAAAAGCATTAGTTTCTTCAGTAGAAAACATTTTTTAGTCTTCTTTCCTACTTATAAGATGTTTTTTCCAAGACTTTCGAGTATTTTGAGCCAGGAGGGAACTAAGAAACCGACTCAGCAGCCTCACCCGCACCTAGAACCCATGGGCATGCAGGTCCCAGGCCCCACCCAGCCCGGCCGATAGTGGGGTGGGCCCAGCAGTCTGCGCTAGCATGTCCTCCAGGGGCCTGCGCGCACTATGGGAACCGCTGACTAATCTCAGCTCCTCCTTGTGAGAAGAAGGCCCAGAAAAGATGAGGGACTTGTAGAGTCACACCCCTACTTGACAGGAGAGCAGGCCGCTCCCTCAGGCCATTCCTCCCCTCTGTGAGGGTGACTGCGAGGCTCAGGGTCTGCCTTTTGACTGAATTGGCACTGCGGGCCAGGTAGTGCCCGTGTGGAGGCATCAGACTCCACGGGGCTCTGGGCCTGTGAACTGACACAGGGCTCGGGGCCAAGCCAGCTACTCAAAGTGGAAAGCAGGGCAGTGGAGTCGGGGTAGGGGGTCTGGGAGGGCAGTGGAGTCGGGGTAGGGGGTCTGGGAGGTAGGAGCACTCGGCCTGGAAGGCCAGCACCAGCCCCAAGTGTGAGGACTGGGCCTGCACTGTGCCCGGGTCCCCGAGCGCCCTCAGCCCTGTGGCTGCATCTGTGCCCCGTACCGGCTGGCACTGAGCGAGGACCTGCCCAGCCTGAGGACACAGAGTGAGGAGGCAGGGCTACTCCAGGCATGGCTCCTGCGCTGCGGGTAAGGGACAGGCAGGGCAAGCACCCCCCAGGGGTTTCCAGGTGCAGCCCGAGGGTGGGAAGGCCAGCTGGTATGGTCAGATTGTGGAGCAGCTGGGGCCCCACAGGGGTCTGGTCCTGGCCACACGGGGCAGTAGTAGCAGGAGCCGGAGGGTGGTGCAGCCTGCCCTGGAGCCTACAGGCCTTGGAGCCTGTCTTCACGAGAGCTCGTGGACAGGCTCCGATGCAGGTGGGCGCATTCAAGGCTCACGGTGAAGCTGCCAGGCTTAGTAAGCCTCCCCTGGGTCTTAGGACTCAGGCAGGCAGGTTCGGTCTTAACAGCCATGTGACCCGGTGACAGTCGTTCTCGACTTGGCCCCTTCTACTTGTGGCAAGGCAACTTTTTGTGCTTTAAAACACAGCACCGGGACCAGCAGGTGGCATAATGGTTACCACAGTTGACTGAGGTTTCAGTCCCTGACCAGTTGGCTTAAAACTTACGCCAGACATGTGTGCATGTGTGCCCAAAATCCTAAGAGGAGAATGGAGAAGGGATTGAGGCTTACTGTCGGGTTCTCTCTGTCAAGTGCATGGGCGAAAGTCTCTAAGTAAGTTAGTGGATAGAACACCGCCCTCTCGGGCCGCAGTCCAGTGTGGGCATTACATGCGTCCTCTCCTGCCTGTCCCCTGCCCTGTCTGCTGTGGTGGCGCGGCCCAGGTGTGGACATGATCAGTAAGATGCTCAAGATGCAGATGCTGGAGGATGAGGACGACCTCGCCTACGCAGAGACCGAGAAGAAGACGAGGACGGACTCCACGTCTGACGGGCGCCCCGCCTGGATGCGCACGCTGCACACCACCGCGTCCAACTGGCTGCACCTCATCCCCCAGACGCTGAGCCACCTCAAGCGCACCGTGGAGAACATCAAGGTGACCAGTGGGGCAGGCAGCTGCCTCTGCATCCAAGCCCAGCGGGGGAATAGGTGCCGACGTGGTGTGACCCAGCAGGGGGACGGGGCCACACGGTGTTGTCCAGCAGAGGAACAGGCGCCCACATGGTGTAGCCCAGCCGGGTGGGGGAAACAGGCGCCCACACTGTGTAGTCCAGCCGGGCGGGGGTGGGGAGAACAGGCACCCGCATGGTGTTACCCAGCGGGGCAGGGAGGAACAGGCGCCTGCATGGTGTAGCCCAGCGGGGCGGGGGAGAACAGGTGCCCACGTGGTACTACCCAGCCAGGGTCTGGGCCAGACAAGTGCCCTTTCTAAACGGACTCAGAGCGCCCCAAACTTCACCTCCACTGGGAGACATGAGCACTTCCCGGGGACGCAGCCCCCCTCTAGGGCAGTGACCTGTCGGGTGGGCGGGGCCGTGGCGGGGGAGTGTTAGTAACTTGGCAGTTCAGATCCTGGGGCTCCGCCCCGAGCCAGGCTTGGAAGAGGGTCCCGCCTCACTCTGGCCTTGCCTCCTCTGCCCGAGCGTAGGACCCGCTGTTCAGGTTCTTCGAGAGAGAGGTGAAGATGGGCGCCAAGCTGCTCCAGGACGTGCGCCAGGACCTCGCCGACGTGGTCCAGGTGTGCGAGGGCAAGAAGAAGCAGACCAACTACCTGCGGACGCTCATCAACGAGCTGGTGAAAGGTGCGGGCCGCAGCCTCCTCAGCCGCCCCGTCCGGACCAGCCGCCCCGTCCACCACGCTGTGCTTCCCCTGCCCGCTGGGCCCACGCAGCGGTGGCAGCCAGCAGCCACGCCAGGGTTTCCGTCTGTGCAGACTGCTCCGAGCACTGTCCCCGCACCTTCCCTCGGGGTCGAGAGGGGCCCTTAGACGTGCCCAGGAGACCGGGTTTCATGTGGCTCGCTGGACGTCGGCTGGAACCTTTATGCGATCTCTGTGACTTCCAGGGTCTCCCAAGACCATGAATGGGGAATGTGGTGGTCTCGGCCTCACCTGGGTGGGAACAGGTTGGGCCCATGAAGAGCAGGAGCAGGGGTGGACCAGGATGGAGGAAAAGCAGGGAGGCCCCCACTCACCCTAAGAGCCTGAATTGTGAGGATCGATGAGCCGGGTGCACAGTGTCCTCAGCTGCGATTTCCCTCCAGTGGGCTCCTGGTGGCCCAGCACAGCTGTGGGCTGGACTGTGACAAGCTCTGGGCCAGCCTGCTTTGCAGATAGAGGGGCTTTGCCTGTGTGTGTGTGTGCGCGTGTGCACATGCATGCATGTTTGAGCATGTCTGTGTGTGAGCACGTGTAAGTGTGTGAGAGCATGTGTAAGTGGGCACGCATGTGAGCGTGTGTAAGTGTGTGTAATGTGTATAAGCATGTGTGAATGTGCATATGTGGGTGTCTGGCTTGTGTGAGCACATGTAAGCGTGAACATGTGTAAGTGCGTATGTGTGCATACATGTTTAAGAGTGCGTGTGTGGTGTGTATGAGCATGTTTAAGTGCGTGTGTGTGCATGTCTGGGTGCCCAGCCTGGGCGCATGCGCACTGCCCAGCCGCACTGGGGCTGCTGTCAGCACTGGTGCCAAGCCCAGGGTCTCTGTGCCGCCCTGCAGGGATCCTGCCCCGGAGCTGGTCGCACTACACGGTGCCAGCCGGCATGACCGTCATCCAGTGGGTGTCCGACTTCAGCGAGCGGGTCAAGCAGCTGCAGGACATCTCGCTGGCGGCTGCATCTGGCGGCGCCAAGGAGCTGAAGGTGCTGACGACACCCGGGGGCCGGGGGTGGGCAGCTGTCTGGGCTCGGGAGAGCAGGGTTCTGACACCCGGGCAGCTCCATGGACGCGCGGCCAGGCCTGACACCAGCCCCGTCCCTGGCTGCCTCTTCCCGTAGAACATCCATGTGTGTCTGGGCGGCCTGTTCGTGCCTGAGGCCTACATCACCGCCACCCGGCAGTACGTGGCCCAGGCCAACAGCTGGTCCCTGGAGGAGCTCTGTCTGGAGGTCAACGTCACCACGTCACAGAGCGCCACCCTCGACGCCTGCAGCTTTGGGGTCACCGGTGAGTTGGAGGCCACTGCTCTGACTTGGCTCCCGGTTCAGGTCCCCTCCTCGGCTCTGGGCTCTGCCCAGGCCTGTCTGCAGGTGACCGGTCAGGTCTGTCTGGTGTGTCAGCCGTGCGGACCTAGGCCAGGGTGGGTGTGGCGGAGTGTCCCCCTCAGCCGGGTCTCGACTCCCTCCCAGGCTTGAAGCTCCAGGGGGCCACGTGCAGTAACAACAAGCTCTCGCTCTCCAACGCCATCTCCACTGTGCTGCCCCTGACGCAGCTGCGCTGGCTCAAGCAGACCAACGCAGAGAAGAAGGCCAACGTGGTGAGTGGCTGCCTCCCTTTGTGGGGGACCCTCTGCAGGGCTCCCCATTTCCATACGCAGAGCTCTGCCCGCATCTGGCCCTCACGTCTCCCTGTCACCAAGTCGCCGTCTCCCACCTGTCCCCTCCAGTCACGAGCCCTCTCTGCCTCCCTTGCAGGTGACCCTACCTGTCTATCTGAACTTCACCCGGGCAGACCTCATCTTCACTGTGGACTTTGAAATTGCCACCAAGGAAGACCCTCGCAGCTTCTACGAGCGGGGCGTGGCAGTGCTGTGCACGGAGTGAGCCGGCGCACCCGGCTCTCCCTCTCCACAGCAGACTCCGTGTTTGACACGTGTTCGTTAGGATGTTTGGAAGGTGTGGACTCGCTCAGAAAGGGAGGTGGCCAAACTGAGGCTGCAAGGACCTGGACTGCCTGCTGAGGGCCAGGCGGGCCAGGCTTGGAGGGCACCGCGCGTGCCAGGACAGCAGCGTGGCTTATTTTATGAATAAAACACTAAGCATGATCCGCCTCCCGCCTCTTCTGTCTCGCCCCAGCCCCCCACTAGGCAATGGGTGGGTGGGGATGGGGGGCCTGGTTCCAGGAGGCTGGGCCCCTGGCAGTGAGCCCTGCCCCAGAGCAGCCCCAGCACCGTGAGTCCAGAGCCCGGGACCCTTCACAGATGGCCAGGACAGCTCTGGGCCGTCCGCTTCCGTGACCCGTAATTCCTGAGGCCTGTGCTAAGCAGCCCGGATGCCACCCGGCCCTCCACGTCCGTCCCACACAACCGCGGGCAGCCGCTGGGCCCACTGCTGCCTTCACGTTCGCGCTGTCTTGGCGTGGGCTTCTGCAACTTTCCAGGGTCCCAGGCTCGTGGAGACAGACGCGGCTCGCAGACTGATAGGCCGCCAGAACCCCGTGCAGTGAGCACTGCTTGGTCGGCAGCAGGGTGAAAGTCTTGGGGTCCTCAGTGCCCAGCCCCTGCCCCCAGGGAGCCTCTGCCAGGCAGGGGCAGACCTCTTCCCACTCAGTCCTAGAACACTCAGGGGACCCTAGCTGGCTCGACTGCAGTTTTAAAATTGGCCCTTTTTAAAATGCTTTTCTCAGAGCCAGTAGTTGGTGTGGTGGTTGGGGCGTTGGGCCCCCACATGGCCAGCTGAGGTTCTAGTCCTGGACCCAGTGGCTTGGAACACACCAGGTATGCATGCATGTATGCCCGAAGTCCTGAGAGAAGACTGGAGAAGGGATTGCAGCATTTCTGTCCCGTGGAGGGGGGCGGGGGGAGGGCGTGATTTCTTGTTTTCTGCCTCTCCTGAGAGTATGCACACCCTATGGCAAAAAAAGTCTCTCAAAATTTTTCTGAAAATTGCTTTTCTCTGAACCAACAATTCTTGGCGTTTCTCTCGTAAGAGTGCAAATGAAGCTGCAGGCAGGCCCCCATCTGAGAAGAGCTGTGCTGTGTCCTGGTGACAGGGAGACCACAGAAGGCACCACCAAGCGTGTCCTCATCCAGCCTGTGGTCACCTCCCCACTTACAGGTGAGGGTCCGAGGCTCAGAGGCCAAGGAGTGACCGCAGGGATTCCAAAGTAGAAGGGGCACGGTGCTGCCTACCGCATGGCCCCACCCATGCCTCCGGACTGCAGGGGCACCCCTGGAGGAGGGGCGCAGGTAGCCAGGCCCAGACTGGAACCTCTCCAAAGCAGAGGGCCCCATGGGGACCCCCGAGGAGCACCTGAGGCTTTTCCCTGCTGCCTCCCATTCTGGTGCCTGGGTGATGGTGCCCGGGGCTCCTTGCTGAGCTCAATCCCTGTGGACTCTCCTGGGGCAGCAGGCTCACCCTGTGGTCACAGGGTCGGGCTGGAAGTCACCCCAGTCCTTCCTACAGTCTCCTAACAGAGCCAGCAGCAGCTGCGCACAGGTGGGGTGGGGCAGGGCTAAGGCAGGGAGAGCCAGGGTTCAGGAGGAGAGGGGTGGCACTCAGGAGGGCAAGGCCAAGGCTCAGCCTGGGAGGGGTGGTGCCAGGCAGGGAGCGAGTAGGGCTTGGCCTGGGAGGGGCGGTGCCAGGCGGGGAGGGGCGAGGCTCAGGTGGGGGCCGTGCCAGGCGGGCAGGGGCGGTATATAGGCAGGGAGGGGCGGCAGGGGTCTGCCCCTGCTGCGGGCTGGGCCTGAACTGGGTCCCCCAGAACCACACTTTCTTTCAAGGTCCAGGCTCCCCTCGAGGCCCTCAGGGATGGACCAGCGGCTTCCGGCTCAGGTGTCCCTTTTATTGGGCTCGGAACTGCGAGGTCCTGGGGACACAGGGGTGCTGGACTCGGGGAGGAGGCGGGATGGCCGGCTGCAGCGGCAGCTCTCTGCTCTGCCCCTGGGAAGGAGAGAGCTCCGTGAGCTAGTGGGCGGGACCCCAGAGCCTGTCACCAGTGAGGGGAGTGGCGGAGATGAGCCGGGTGGGGTGAGGCCCAGCACCCGAGAACCTGCTCTGAACCCGCCCGGGCTCGCCTCCACCCGCCTCTGCCTCTGCATGGGCAGGGCCTGCCGGGTCAGCCAGGGCCTGTGCTGGAGCAGCCCTCCAGGACGGGCCGCCTTCCGCTCCCTGCAGAACTGACTTGTCACCCCGAAGGTCGCACTGAAAGGTCCTGGCCAGGACAGTTGGGACCCAGTGGACCCCACAGTCAAATTGCCAAAATAATCCCATCTTAAGGGCCCATAAATATTTAGTCAGAGTAAGTTTGCTGGGATTCAAGAGGGGAGGAGGGAGGGCCGCACAGGGCCTCCCTTTTGTTTTTTGGATTTGGTTGTTTTGTATTCTTTTTAATTTGCTATAGGGCACGTGCGCTCACTGGAGAGAGAGACAGGGAAGGTGAAAATAGCCCCCGGGGGATGACCATGCCACAATCCATTCCCCATTCTCAGGATTTGAGGCACACGCGCCCAGCATGTTTCTCAAGCCACTGGGTCTGGAATTCGAACTGCACAGTTGGCCGTGTGGGATCCAGCCGCTTTAACCTCCGCAGCGTCTGGCTGGCCCAGAGCCATATTAAGCCAGATGTGGGCACCCGGTTACTGAGCCTCGTCGAGGGCTGCTCATTCCCACTGGGCCTGCCCGGCTCTGCCCTGACGGTGTGCCCGGCCTCTCCAGGCCAGTCACTCACCTGGGGTCAGGGTGTGTGCTGCTTCTTCCTCTTGGCCCTCTCAGGCTCTGCAAGTACAAGTTCCAGCTTTCTCTTGGAGAGTGAGAGTTTGGGCCCCCTGTCTCTCTCACTGCCGAGTCTTGGCGGCCGGGTGGCCCTGGCTCTGCTCAGCGTAGGTCTGCGGGTGTCCACAGCAGCGAGGAGGGTGTCAGCTGCCCTGGGCCTGGGGCTGCGGTCTTCCTCCACCATTCTCCAGTCCTCTGGCAACCCAGCTGGCCTCGAGGCCCGCCCTCCTGCCTCTGTGGGCAGCTGCGCCTCGCCCTGGGGCCGCATGTCCACGTCGGGGGCTGCTGGGGCCACTGGGGCTGTGGGGGCCCGGCTGGTGGTTCTGGTGATGAGGCCGGGGGTTTTGGATGGGCGAGAGCCTTGGAAATAGGATGCTGGGCTCTGCGGCCTCAGTGCGGACAAAGTCACCTCCCAGTCCATGCTGCCAGGAAGACAGTTAGAATGATGTGGGGCGTCCTCGGGGTCACAGTCACCAGGTCCTAAAAACTGAAGACGAGCGTTCTGAGCGTGACGGCAGGTGCTCGTCACGGCCAGCACGCTCGCGCCCGAGCGTGGGGTACTTCTCCCATGGCTGAGTCTGGCGAAGGCTGCATTATCCTCCTTGCCGAGGAACTTTGCAGATGGCCTCGATATTCCAGAGCCCAGAGAGCCCTGTGTTCCCTGAGGCCCAGCCTGAGCCCTGCCCAGCTCAGCCCAGCGCTGGGCACAGACCTGGCAGGCTGGACACAGACCAGCCCCACCTCCCATGGGTGGGACCGAAGCTGCTCCTCCAAAGGGTATGTGCCGTCCTCCTGGCGAAGGGCACGAGGCTGATGCCCCCCACTGGGCCCTCCCTGGGGCGGAAGCATACCCCGCAGAGTCCCACCGAGCACCCAGGGCAGGTTCCTCAAGGTGGCGGAAAGAAGAGGAGATGAGTAAGTCCCAGTCTGTGTTCTAAGGTGCCCCTGCGGGTCTCCAAGGCAACACACCTGAGCAGCTCACCCTCCAACGCTTCTGCAGCTTCGCAGATGTCTGGCCCCCACCATCCCACCAGGTACGGTTCTGACCCTCCTCCCTTCACTTCCATGCCAACGCCCTTGCAGAGTGGCTGCGGCAGTGCAGTGCGGGGCGGCCTGACCGCCAGGCCTTCAGGCTGCCCAGCCTACGCGGCAGGCTGGTTTCATGAACTCCCTGCACCACGCAGACACCAGGTGCAGGATGAGACCCGAGAAGACCGCTGACCAGTCTAACACCCGCTCCAGCGCACCGGGCTTGCCTGGGCTCCAGTAACACGCACCCACAGGGAAGGCCCCTCTATGGGTCATCTTGCCGGTAGTGAAGGCCTCCCCAGAGCACGTGTTCCCCCTTCAAACAGTGGGCACTATTTGTTCAAAAAAGGGGGGGGAGGACAAATTGGGAATAAACACCGTATCTGTAGCCAACTGTAGTCATTTCGGGATTTTTGTTTTTAAAGAATTATTTTTTATTTAATTTTATTTATACATTCATTTATTTTTTTAATTTGACCAGAGAGAGACATACAGAGAAAGAGAGAGAGAGGGAGAGAGGGAGAGCGAAAGTGAGAAAGCCACCAGGTCTGGGATTCGAACCATGGTTGGCCATCTGGGAATGTCCAGCCCCCCAACCACCACACCACTTGCTGGATTTTGTTTTGTTTTAGAATTATTTTATTTCACTTTATTTATTTTAGTTAGGGAGAGAAGAGAGAAAGTGAGAAACCAAGCTGCCAGGTCCAGGACTCGAGCCGCGATTGATCATGTGGGAGTCCAGCGCCCTTAACCACCACACCACCTGCCAGCCCTTCATTTCAGATTTTAGATTCGGAATTGATCATAATTTACAAAGCCAGCCTCCCAGGACCCCGCCACCGAGGAGAAAAAGAAGAAAACCGACGCACAGAGCAAAGTGAGTTTTCTCTAAAACATGAGTCTGACCCCACAGTGGGCCCACACAGGGCTCTGGCAAGGCTGGCCTCGGGGGCCACGGGGAGCTGCGGCCTGGCTCCCACCGCCCCCTGGAGGCTGAGCGATCTGGCGCATGCTGTACCTACCTCTGCCCAGACACCGGCCGCCAAGTCCACGCGGTTCCTTTTGTGACTGACCTGGAAAAGAACAGCCTTGGATGCTCCTTTCAAGCAGGGAAGGCAGAGAGCAGGTTGGTGTTCGAGGCAAGGGGACTTGGGGTGCCCACTGCCTGCACCACAGCTCCTGCCATGCTGGGTGCGCGAGGAGGCAGATGAGGTGGAAGTCTCCCCAGGGCTCGAGTGAAGGTGGAAGTCCCTTGGCGGGACTGAAAGGCAAACCCGGCCACTGCGAACAAAGCAGAAGCAGGGATGTGGCCAGGAGGCAGACTCAGCCCTGGACGTGCTCATCAGGGGGCCATGCAGGGGCAGATGACCCTGTGGACTTGTTCTGGACCCGAAGTCAGAAGGTGGGGGGGAATACTGGGGAAGGGCCTCTCTCCTGAGCCCACCCTCCACAGATGCAGAAGCTGAGGCCCTGGGAGGGCTCCAGCTTGCTAAGGGTCCCAGGGAAAAACTCTGGTCTGGCAACAGGTATTCTAGAACCCTCTACGCTAAACCCGGGCTGCCAAGAAAAAAATTTTTCTCCCTCTTAAAAAAAAAAAACTCTAGGGACCAGCAGTTAGCGTAATGGCTATGTGGTTGGACTCCCATGTGGTCGATCATGGTTCGAGTCCTGGACACCTGGCGGCTTTAACTCACGCCGGGCGCGTGTGTGTGCATGCCCCAGATTCCAAGAGGAGAATGGAGAAGAGGGATTGTGGCGTGGCCATCCTCCCTGGGGGGGAGGAGAGGGGGGTTCTCGCTTTCTGTCTCTCTGCCTCTGTCTTTTCTGGCAAGTGCACGTGCCCTGTAGTGAAAACTTCTCCAAGAAAATAAAAATGAAAGAAAACTCTCTTGGACCAGCCATGGTCTGATGATTAAGGGAACAAGATCCCACATGACTGACTGTGTGGTTTAAATCCTGGCCCTGGCAGCTTGAAAAATACGCCACATATGTACACGTGTGCCTAGAATCCCGACAGGATGGAGAATGGAGGAAAAGGGATCGAGGATGACCACACCGCATTTAAGGTGACATCCTCCCTCTCTCTCACTCTCTGGCAAGCGAACATGCTCTCTGGCTCTCAGGGACCAGAAGTGGTGCAGCAGTAAAATGCAGCACACTCAGGGAGGCTGACCCACATGGGAAGGTCCCAGGTTCAAGTCCAGACCAGAGACCTTCCTGAGTACACCAGGCATGGGCATGCCCTGATGCAAGTTTGGCTGAGGCTTAGGGGTGAATCAAGGTATCAAGACCCTGTTGGGGTGCTGACTCGTTGTCTCTCTTGCTTATGGAAGAAACGAGCTTTTTTTTTTTTTTTTTTTTTGGAGAGGTTTCTGCTATAGGGCGCGTGCGCTCGCCAGACAGACAGAGAGAGACATAGAGACAGAAAGCGAGAAATCACCCCCCAGGGGGGATGGTCACACCACAATCCCTTCTCCTCCATTCTCCTCTCGGGATCTTGGGCACGCACGCACACGCGCCTGGTGTGAGTTTTAAGCCACCAGGTCCGGGACGCGAACCGCGGTCGACTACGTGGGAGTCCAGTGACATAGCCATTACGCTAACTGCTGGTTCCCGAAGAAACGAGCTTTAAAAACAGACTCAAGGGGCCAGCAGGTGGCATGGTAGTTGAGGCACTGGACTTCCACGTGGTTGACCACAGTTCAAGACCTGAACCTGGAGGCTTGCTTTCTCACTATCCCTTTCTCTTTGTCTCTGGTCAAAATTGAAAAATAACGATAATCAATAAAAATTAAAAATAAATCTTTCTTAAAAAGATATCTGGATTTTTTTTAATTAAAAAAAAAAAAGGACTCAAGGGGCCAGCAGGTGGCATGGTGGTTAAGGGCCTTGGACTCCCACATGGCCGACCACAGTTCAACTCCCAGACCTGACAGCTTGTTTTCTCACTTTCTCTGACTCTCTCTTGCTCTATCCCTCTCTGGTCAAATTAAAATAAATAAAGTTAAAACTTTAAACACTTTTTTTTCATCTTTTTTTAGATTTTTTTTTGAGAGGTTTTTGCTATAGGGCACGTGCGCTCGCCAGATAGACAGAGAGAGACATAGAGACAGAAAGCGAGAAATCACCCCCCAGGGAGGATGGCCAGGCCGCAATCCCTTCTCCTCCATTCTCCTCTCGGGATCTTGGGCATGCATGCACACGCGCCCGGCGTGAGTTTAAGCCTCTGGGTTCGGGACTCGAACCGCGATCGACTACGTGGGAGTTCAGCGACATAGTCGTTACGCTAACTGCTGGTCCCAAACTTTAAACACTTTTGTAAAAGAAATAAAAAACTCAAACCCCTGGAACTTGGATACCTCTAATTATTGGATGAGAAAATTCTATGGGTGAACCAAAGCCCACTGAGGTAAGTATTTCCAGGAGCTGCCCTGGCCTGGGGCTCCAGGGTCTGCTCTGAGCCCGCACCCTCTGACCGTGACTGGGAGGGAAAGGCTGGGTGCAGAGGACCTTGAGTCTCCGTGCACTTCTCCGCCCCTTCTGGAAGCCAGCTCTGGCCGCACTGAACGCTGCCCTGATGCATCTGGACCGGCTGAGTCTCAGGCCTCCCATGGTTCAGCCCGTGTAGACGGCTCACTTCCCTGCAGAATAGCAAGTTGACAGGGACAGAGCAGATCAGTGGTTGCAGGGGGGGAGGTGCTGACCACGAACTGGCTGGAGGGAACTTTCTGGAGCCTTCTCAGTTCTGCCTGTGGTTGCTCAACAGGACGTGTCTATCAAAACCAGAATGTGCACCTCGGGGTGGGGAGGGCTCTGCTGAAACCACCTTTCCCTCCCTCAGTAAGATCCGAGGGCGTTTTCAAGACATGTAGTTTAAAGACAACCCACAGGCAGCTGGCGGCGCCAGAGCGCCCACAAGTCAGCCGTGAGTCAGGGGAGGCCCTGGGCACCCCCGGTCACAGAAAGCGGCTCACCAGAGGATGCCCCAGCCAGAGCCACAGGCCAGGAGAGACGCAGAGGCCGCTGCCCCCGACTCGAGTGCGCACCCACCTTTTTAGGGGGTTGTTTATTAACAGATGAAGAAATTTAAGTCCAGACTTGATTTAAATGATATGAAATTATATTAAAAACTCAGCTTTTCTTAAGTGCGAGGCTGTTCGCAACATTTATGAAAACACATATATGACCAAAGAAAAACAAAGAACAATCTAAACAAAAACACACATTTAAAAAAAAACAAAGAAAACAAACTCCTGGGCCAGCCACATGGGTGGTGGTTAAGGCAGCTGGATCCCACAAGGCGGCCTGCACAGTGAGTCCTGGACCCCGCAGCTTGAGAAACAGGCGTCAGACACCTGTGCGTGTGTGAGAGCATGCCCAGAATCCTGGGAGGAAAGGCGAGGAGGAGGGACTGCAGCCCGGCCGTCCGATGCTCACTCTCTCACTCTCTCACTCTCTCACTCTCTCTCTCTCTCTCCCCAGAAAGCACATGACCTATAGCAAAAAGACTCAAAAACAATCAGGGACTGCAAACACCCTGGAGCCCTGTGGGAGGGTGCCCTGCAGGGTGCCAGCGACTGGGGAGGCCGCGCTCCCAGCCTGGTCTCAGAATCCGGTTCTGATGCCCCTAGGTGGGGTCTTCAGGAAGGGCACGGCAAATGCGTCTTAGGAAGAACTATGCTTGCATTTCAACCTTTTTTGCACCAAAATGAACTCATACGTTAATTCCATTTTTCATGAACTTTTTTTTAATTCATTTTCTACATTAATTCCCTATACACCATCACAACACACAAATGACTTTTCCATCCAAAATACACTGTGCATTGGCTCAATCAAGCACATCCACATACATGTTCTCAGCAAATAATTTTCCAATTCTTATGTCCTGCATACCTTGCCTTTTGTTTTGCCATCCTTGATTCCCCATCCCCCACCCTCTGCCATGTCCCATCCTCCTCCTACATTGTCCCTGGCATCCACGGCTGCCCTCCATGCCCTCCCCCACCCCCCATTCAATTGTTCTGCCAATGAACTTAATTAGTCTAAATACATCCAATAGTTAGAACAGCTGACACACACCTACACATGAACCCAAGTCTGACTTTAGGCATAGACCCCAGTGAGTAGAATGAACATACTATAAAGTAGTACCCAGCTGGGCCCATACAGCTCGCTGCAGTCATCAAATGTGCATTTTTTTTTCTTTTACAAAATGATACGAACAG